ATAAATGACTGAAGCCCAGGAATTGATTTTCATTTTGAATTGAAACACAGTCAGGAAAGTATGTACAATACCCCATAATGTCCAGTCCGGTGCGAAGCATCGCGCTCTGTTGGGCATTAAAGTCCGCTTGGCAGACGAACTTTTTCTTGCAAGTCTCATCTTTGATGCCCATCTCCTTCAGGGCCATGTCCGTGATGTTCAGCCTGCCAATCGTTTGGATTAGTTCAACGCGGTTTAGTATACTTGGGCTTACTCACTGTCTTAGTTGAGCGGCGATCGCCCTAAAGGGCTCTAAGACGCCACCTCCATGGAGGTTTCTGGCCGAAGGCTTCACGTTCTCATAGGGGGCCGGCCCCGCAAAGCGCTCATGGTCGTAGGCGCCCTCAGGAGGCTGATCAGCGGAAAAATCTGCAATATCTAGAACTCCCGCTACTGGCTTAGAAGATTGGAGGTCGAGTTTTACCAGGCGGATACGAGGAGTAAGACTTGGAGCTGTAGATATCCGAAGGCCCGCCCGAGTATCCTCCAAAGTCGTGATGGTCGTGCTCATGAGGGTTCACATAGACGATCTTCTCCTCGTGATGATGCTCCGGGTATTTATCTGGAGAATTTTCCCACTTCACTGTTAAACCCTTCGGGCTATTTGCCACTTACGCTTCATGTATTCGGTGAGCTTGATGATGCCGATCACTTTGGCCGCCACCAGGCTAACGGTGAAAATCGTGCCAATGAAAAAGATGATTTTCAGCTTAACGGCCAAGAAGGACAAGTACGTGAGAAAGTGCAAGTAGTCTAAGAAAAAGTTGCGCGTTAAACTCCAATTTCAGTGTTCTGATGGACTCGACTCACGCATTCCATGGTGATGGTGGTGGTGCTTCTTCTTGTACCCTCCGTTGTATCCAGGATATCTGTCCATCCCCCCTTGTCCGTAGCAGGAGGCGCAAGCCACCACCAGCAGCACCAGCAAAACACTTTTCACATGCAGCATTCTAGATCGAAAGAAGTCACTTTCAGAATGCCTCCTCATGTGGGCAGGCCTGTTTATATATCGCCATCAAAGTCTGTTTGTCGTTGGAGTTAGCGCGTTAATTTCGCCCACTGAGGAGTTAATTGGAACTTTGAAAACGAAAGTGGTGTGCCACTTGGAAAGTGAAATTTCCCAGGCGAAAGTGCATACCAGTCTAAGCAAATATCTTTCAGAAAAGAGTCCCGACAGCAGCTGCGCATGGAACATGCTGGGTATCCTGGCCGAAAGAATGGGGCTGTTGGGCTCGGCCAAGAAGGCTTTCAAGCACGCCCTAGTCCTGGCCGAGCGCGCCCATAAAGACCTTGCGCGGACCAACTACGGAAGATTGCTGTATCGGACTGGGGAATATGAGGAGGCGATTGAAATGTTCTCCCATGTGGAGGCAGCCACGTTCAGCAGCGGGGCTGGATTCGCTCTGGCTCTATTCAGAAGTAAGTTTCCTCAAAAAAAACCCAACTACTACACAGAAATGGACACTCAGCTTCATTAAGACTAATTATCACTCTCGGGGCCGGTAAACAGGATCAACGCTCATTATTTGCCCATCTAGTTTGCGCTTCTTCCTAGGTGAAATCGCACTTGGTTTCATTGCGGCATTGCCCGTTTTATTGTATCAATAATATCGCTTTCTTTCGCCTACTTCGCCTTAGATGGCCAATATGAGGAGTCCTACGCGGCTTACGAGCAAGCCCTCCATTGGCTCACAGAAGAACAAACGTCGCAGTCGGAACTGTTGGTCGCTTTAGCCTCCATGGCCTATAAGTTTCAGGGCGCCGATGCCGCCAAAACTCTCCTATTTCAAAGGTAAGTTTCACAAATGTTTTTTGAAATTTAGATCTAAACGACCCAAGTTCGGGTGTTTAAATCTATCAGTTATTTCTTATTATATTTCTGGGTTTCAGTCAACAGGTGCAATAAAAATGTTTATTTCATATTACGTTTCGGCGAG